CCCCAAATGCCAAACAAAACACTGCAAAGACAAAGGCTTGAACATATGGATAAATAAACAGCCCAGTTCCCTACAGGGCTTCAACAGATTTCCACATTTTCTCTTCAACAGCTCCTCTCACTGATTCTCTCATCCCAAAAAGAAAGGAGACACCCTCCCATGCTGGGAGGAGGTGAGAGGAAGAGCCTGTACCTTCCAAAGCTTTCTAAAGATGTATGTTGTTGAAATATTTTCTTGCTCCCAAAAGGAGATATAGATGGAAACCCACACTAGGAAGCCAAACGTAATTATCATCCAGGATTGGGGATGATTATATGATCCTCAATATCCTTGTAGTATATCAAGGGAATTGATTACAGTTCTCAACATGAAAGACATGGCTTTACAGAAACATTCATCCTGCATATGCAGCTTTTAAATATGAACTGAGTAAACCTTTTCTACAACATATCACTGTTAGAGGCAGCACTGTAATTATGCACTAAACCTCAATAAGAGCATGCTGCCTTCCAGATGATAATGTCATGATATTCTTCCAACCCACCACAGCCAGATGCCGCAGAGGCCAAACCCCACCTTCCCCAACAAGCATGAAAACCAGGGCATTCATCAAATTTTGCTTCAAGGATTCCTTTCAAGTTCAACCCTTAGTCTCCATTTCTCTATGCGTCTTGAAAGTGTTTCTTCGCACTGTGGCAAAGGAGGGTGTCAGGAGGAGGGTGTCACAATTGACAGCAGTGCTGCCAGGCTCATTCCCAAGCTACCCTTACACTATGACAAGGTTTCCCTGTGACTGCTCCCTAAATTTTTTGTGAAGAGAAATGTTGCCCTTTCCTATTGCCCAAGTTCCCCATTTACCCTGCAGTGCTTCTCAAATCTCATTCCAGCCAGGAATAACTTTGCCCACACTGTTAGCTTCCTGTTTGCACAGAACAAAATCCTTCTGGTAATCCCCTATATAGATTTTATACTTGGCTGAGGAGTTAAAGGTGACAGTCTAGAAATTTTTAAATGGCTCTTAGACCAGATGTGCTTCTTTGACACTCATGCATGTAAAAATAGCCAAGTCCAGGCCTCGGTGACCACCTCTGGATATATTAAAATATTAAAGATAGGCACATACAGTAAGTGTTTGCAGGACTGAGACTACAGGGACATAGTACACTGCAGTCACAGTGATAATTTGTCTTACTAATTTAGAAGATGCAAACTTAATGTTCAATTCACAGGCTGTTCCTGAAAGTTCAGGGTATGTATGCGAAGCAAAAGATCTTTTTCAGTATATTTTATTAACTACTATTCAGGAATGTTGGCAGTAAGCAATCAATTGATTTTTGGCTAAGCCAACATACTTCTCCTATCACAAACTCTTACCACCAATAGCCAAACAAAAAAGCCCAGATTTACTCTGCTTTGCAGCAGGTCTGACATCTGGTCCGGGGAGTTTTGGTGGTTAATAGTGCAAGTGCCACACTTATAACTGTACCAGGGAAGATGAGATTAATATTGTTCAATGGCACCATCTTCAGTCAACTACAAAGCTGATTATTACCTGGCTTTCAGCAGACATCATATTCATCTGTTCCGAGTCAAGAAAAAGTGTGGTGTCAGTGCCTCTGGACTTGCATGGTGCAATCTCAGAAAATTTACTGTTGCAGCAGAGATATCAAGCATATGGGTTCCCCTCAAACAAAGGGAAAATCTCTATACATTTTGTCTGCATTAAACTGAGAAGGCAAAAATATTGTCTGAAAGAGAAAATATTGATTACATGCAATAATTTCTGAGAAAGTGTTGTCTTGGTTTGTTTTCTTAGAGGACTGATTGGTTTGGATTAATTGTTTGTGAAGTAATTCATAGAGACCAAGATATGCATCATTCTGGCCTTAAGAATGCTCAGAAAGATCCCATAAATTAAATAACTATTCCCATAGTTTGGAATCAACTTCTGTTGCTTTGAAAATAGTACTTACTGCCCTTATTCATTATATTTCTCTATGCTTTAAAACTAAAAGTATTTTAAAAAATCCCAAAACAACATTGAACCTGATAACAGAATTAGACTAAGTATTTTAAAAAATCCCAAAACAACACTGAACCTGATAACAGAATCAGACCCCATCCTTTTCTTAGGTGAGAGTATATATACTCATGCCAGTCTAATACCATAAATAAATTACATCACCTGAAGGTGAATTTTAGCTCAGAATAAAATTATTGGAACATCTGTTTCTGAGGCAGAATTTTAGAAAATTATTTCAGTTATATGTCTACCAGAAATGTGTAGCTAATTGCCAGTCATCTCCTCCCTGTCTTCTTCCTTCCGTTCTTTCAAAATGAGGCTAATATATGTAGGCACCTTGTTCTTACAGTTACACCTAAGAGAACTGAATTAATGTGGATCTAAAAAAAGGTTTTTCAGCCTTCCAAGGCCGATGTGTATTTCATGGTTTGTGTTTCCTTTTCAGCTGACCCCCTGGTTGGAAGCATTGCCACTCAATATATGACTAACAGAGCAGAGCACGACAGAATGGCCAGACAGTGGACCAAGCGATACGCCACATAGGAACCTACTCTAGGATTTGCTGGACCTGTGCAAGCACATTCACTAAGTGCATCAATAGCCCTTCCCTTCATTCTTATTTTTTATTAAATTTTGAACCATTTTGTGACAAAAGGTTGTCCTTACTTTCTTTTTTTGTTTGTTTTATTTTTATTTTTATTCGTTCTGGGGTTTTTTGTTCTGTTAACTTGAAAGTTGTTTCCCTCAAATGTAGACAGGAAATTTTGGTTATCAGTGCAAAGAATGTTGGATCTGTAATAGTATAGAGCTTTATCACAAAGCTTTGTATTAATGTGTGGGGTTGGTTTTTTTTCCTTTCATGTGGTTTTGGGGAAAACAAACAAATTCAGAATTATATCTTGTTTCTACTTAAATGTAGTGTTTAGGGTTATTTTTTTGTACTGAAGTCTTTAATGGTGGGTGCATGCTACTGGGAACAAGTTTTGTATAAAAGCTTAAAATCAAGAATCACTGTGCATTACTAAGACTGTGTTTATCACTAGCCTTCTGTTTCCCACACAAAAGGCTACTGCGTTGAACAAATTAATATGTATTTTGATTTTACTTAAAAAAACAAAAACAAAAAAAAAAGTGCTTGTAAATTTCTTAGGGACCTGCCACTTTTGACTGTGGATCAGTTGATGTACACTTGTATTATTAAAGCACTCAATAAAACACTGTGGCTGATAAATGCACTTCTTGCAAGACGGTGCTTTTGCGTTTGCAGTATAGGCTGCGTAGTCCTCACATAATACAACTGCAGGTTAAGCAACTATTTTTAGACCTAAACTATTCATTTCTTCTTAACAATGCATTTCTTATCTTTGAATTCTTCACTGTGTATATCTTTCATATAAAACATCTTCCAGACTTTAAGGCCTTTTTTTCACAGCTGAGTGCTCAGCCTCACTATTCACTATTCACACAAGCCTCTTGCTGCATCTTTTATACTATGGCTTCACTATATCCATCTTGTTACTTTTTCACATGCCTGTGCTCAGCCTCACTATTCACTATTCACACAAGCCTCTTGCTGCATCTTGCATCTTATGGCTTCACTATATCCATCTTGTTACATTTAAAATAGTTGGCTATAAAAATAGCCTTGCAGTGAAAGCAGAATATTGATGATGATTTTATACAGCAGGCCTCATTTTGCCTTTCTCCAAGCCCTTTGACTGTAAAAGCAACTGTTATTTAAAAAAATAAATGAAGGTTTTCTATGGGAAAATTGAGCCCATTGCACCAATCATTCCCAGCACGTTCAATGGTAAGGGTATTTCTATTCAGATTTGACCTTCAGGCTAATTTTAGATATGCAGCCATGGAAGGAAAAACTTCTACTTGGCTAAGGAAATGTGTGGGTGTTGTGATTTAGAAAATATATACTGTGATGCTGATAGCTAAATGTTCTTTGTGTTGCAAGGCATATTGGAAAATCCCTGTCTCATATAATTAAATGTTACAGATGCTATATATGGTACTTGCCTGCCCTCTCCCCTGTCTCCTTGCCTCTTAAGTTTAGAGAAGATGTTATCTTGAAGAAGATACATTACAACAGGGCCAGTATAAACATACGGGGAGACCCAATCCCATTACACTCCAACCCAATTCAACCATCCTGAAAACTAAAGCAGTCAAGGTGACACTATAGGGCCTCTACACCCACCACTGCACTGCTCAGCATTTCCAGGCGCTTCTGTTTTTCTCCTGGCCATTTGCTAACAAACTCAGCAGACATTCAGCTTCAATCTACTGGTGAGTTGTCCTTTGCATGAAGAAAAGCACTGACATTGTTGCAGATGGTCTGTAACTACCACCCCAGGAACCACAGGGATCTCAAAGAAACAATCAGACTCTTTTGATCAAAGCAAATGGAGAGTCTTCTGGTGCCTGTAGAAGCCAACTGTTTACAAGACCAGCCATACAACATTTTGAGCCCAACAGATCCTAAATATAGACATGAAAGAACAATGACATTTAAAAAATAAATCAAAACCCAAACCCCAGACTTCTCTAAGCTAGAACCACCTTCTCAGGACAACTGGTATATGTGCTTCCCTTGGAAGTTGCTTCTGCCATACAACTTGCCGTGGAATACCTCCAGATCTGAAGGGAACCTTCCGGCTCTAAAAATACAACAGAGAGGGAAAAGGATTAAAAAGAAAACTGCAACACCCAGTACAGTAACTGCATTCCTACTCCTCTTATCCCATCTGCTGCAGAGATTCCTGCCATAAAAGACCTGTATCACATGAGACAGCAATTAATGGGTAATTTCAGATTTCTTATGAAGTACTTCAAGAGTCTGCCACTCTGCAACCTTTATTTACACTCAGCTGAGCATAATGCAGTAATTTCCCAGGCACATTTTAAACCTGCTTGATAAAGAAGTCTTTCATTCCTCTTATCTTTTCTTTCTTATTTTTTGCTAAAATATCAAGAAGATCCTATGGTATCTCTAAAGAAGATGCAACTGAAGGACAACTGAGATACCTTGGAGAAGGAATCACAGAATTCTCAATAAATATCTGTTCTCAGTTCATCAGCTCTCACTTGCCTTTCTTCTAGATCAAAAGCTGTGCAGTTTGAATTGCAGGTAAGTTGCCCTCTGTGTGAAGCTGTACAGTCACTTTGACCTAGATAATATAAAACTACTGCCTTAAGAACCATGGGGATCTCAAAGAAATAATAGAAAGGCTCAACCCTCATTGATTAAAGCAGATGCAGAGTCTTCTGGCATCTGCAGGAGCCAAATGTTTGCAAGTCTGGCTGTAAAACATTCTCCTCTATTTGCAAATCTGCTCTATTTTCCTCCCAAGTAAATCTTTTTTTTCATTTGCTAAACCTTGGAAATATGAAGCATTATTGAAACCTGTTGTTGTTGCTGAGGAGAAATGAGCCATCCCCAACACAATTCAGTCTGCCAGTAGAGGCCCAGTGAGCAATAATGCATTGGCATAGTCTCTTTTTCTCCTTTTTTTTTATCCTTCATCTAGAAAATATTGCATTCTGTCCCACCTTTGCTCACAGATCCTCTCCAAATTTAGCTATTACTGCTTCCTCTTTTATGATAAATCATCTGTCTAATTTCTTCTAAATGGTGAAGTCTGCATGCTGCCCTCACAGCTGGTCTGAAGATCACTCAAATGGCTCACCCATAATAAAACATTCTAGAGCATACAGTTGTTCTAAAACTGCATATAAAGGCCAGCAGTTCATTGAATCTCAGTATTTTCTCAGGGACACACAAATGCTAAAACTGGGGTTTGTTCTTTAAAGACATCTTAGAGCTGTTCTGAATTCAATTGCAATATCCAGTAAACAATATTTTATTTCCAGTAACACCAGCTAAATGTCAGTGTCCTTTGAGTATCCTTTGAGTTCCACTCAGATGATGCAGGAATCAGGGAACTCTCCAAACTGTATTCACCCATTCACAGATTACTGATGTGGCCTTCATATTCCCGTCTGACTGACCAGCTGATTTCACTCTTCAGAAAATTGCAGAGCAACAATGCTTAAATCAAGGTACCCAAAACTGTCCTGTATTTCCAGAGATGGCATTTCCAGGCTGTTCCAGGAGGGAGCAGGGCCATAACCCTTTTGATAACATGCATTGTTGGTGATTGCAGCTAAACAGTTAAAATTCATTACAACCAGCTGCTATGCCATGAATAAGGCAGGAGTAATTCCTGTTGAAAGATCTTTGTTCAGGTTTTCATATTGTGAGCTGCAGATGGATGCAAAGTCATATCCCATGTCCAAGAGATGGGCAGCAGCTCACAGCCCTCCTTCCCTGCTACCCTGTGCAATGACAGCGTGTGAGTATAAAACACAAGAGGGATCAGGACCCACACACTCCAAAACTGGGTCCCTCTCCAAAGCCCTCTCACCCTTTTAAATTCTGACCTGATGTATGCTCTGGGTGCAGGGCAAGCTCTAGATGCTCTTTCAGCATACTGGTACGGTGTGCTTTAATCCCTCTGACATGCTCCTTCTCTCTGGCTGCTTTCTTCTGCTTGACTGATTTATTACTCACAGCCAAGAGGCCACCCAAGACACTGAGCCCAGTTCAAATAGCTCTTCCTGAAGTTGCCTGAGCATAGTAACCCTTTTGTTCACCAAAGCAGATGCTGAGAATCTGTCTCCAGGCCTCCCTCTTCTCCCCTTTGCTGAGGCAATGACTATTAGAAAGGGAAACCAGGGGTGGCTCCAGTGGAGCTTGAAGATGCCTTCAGACAGTGCAGCAACTCCCAGTTACTCCAAGTCCCATGTTATCCTGGGGTCACTTTTCTTCTTTCCAGTTCTCACAAACTTCTCCTGTCTCTGAAGATGGACATCTTGCTCCAGGCCCAATGTACTCACCTGCATTTTGAGTTCAGCAAACTACCGCAAAGACTCAGAGTAAAAATTCTGGCACCTCCAAAGTCCAAATGTCCAGCCTTGGCAGCCACAATTCCTGCAAAGATAGCTCTGCCTGCTGGTTTTCCATCTTCAGTTGGTCTTGTCTTTTGCTTTTCATTCCCTTTAATTTCTCCTCCTATCCGTTCCTCCATGACGTCAGTACTACATCTTGAAGGATGCTTCTCCCTCCTTCCCTCACCTCAGTCACAGCTCATGGTCATGAAGAGACCATGTCACGTAACACTGAGCCTCACAGGGCTGCTAGAAATCCCCTGATTTTAGGTCTTAGAAGCAAAAAAGAGCTTTTTGTGAATTAAGTACTTCCTCATTGTGCCATGCCTGGCACTGGCTATAAACTAAATCACTTCTCCCACACACATCATTAGCAGTAATGAAATCCAGGCTGGCCTCCTTAACATGGCATCCATATGCAAATGAATTTCCTCAGCTCAAATGATCTGCAGAGCCAGTGCATGGCTGCTTGGGATGCCTCCAGCAGCCTCTGTCAGATCACAACTGGAATATATTTGAGGACTACTATTTACCAGGAAGAGTTTTATGATACCTTTAAATCCATCATTCTGCACCCTGATTCCATCATGAACTTTAATAGGGACTTGCAGGACTTTGGGATAATGAAAAGGGCAAAGCAAAACATCCCTTTCATGTCTACTTTGGTTGTGAAAGAAAGTAGGCATGGCCTAATGGAAAGCTGAAACAAAGACAAGGCTGCTAAAACATCCTAATCCCTTGCCAGTCCTAAATTAGAAAAATCCAACTTCACATAACAGCTAAATAAAAGACGTAATTACGTCTATAGACTTTGCAGAGCAAAATGCCCAAAAAATTACTAGCCAGGTATCCCAATAGTAAACATGAATGATCAAATCAAGCATTTCAAGACAGATTTTTCAAGGGAAATGCATCCACTAGGAAGAGTTTTCCTCATCTCCTCACCTCTGTCATGCTGCACACAAGATTCCCTCCTTGGCAGTCCCTAGGGAAACCAGCGTTGGAAACAAGCACCTGGGGTCATTCCTTATTGTCACTGCTCCTCAAATACACTCACTCACAACAGGCATTTGTTCCCGCACAATCAGTGCTGGGGTCCCCTTTTGTGTCACTGAGAACCTTGGGGTCAGGAAAAACAGAGGGTCACACTTCAGTTTCTGTGAAATGCCTTCTTTCTTTGCAGTTGACTCATACCCTTTGTAAGGCCCTGAATGGATCCTCTTCACATGAATGGGGCTCCTACCACACAGATTTCAATACAGCCCTGATCCTTTCT